CCTTGAGCGTCAAGGGGTACACCTGTCCCTGCCTCCCATCTCAAGTCACCAGGATTAGAGGCAAATTACACACCTGTGTTTTCCTTTTATTCCCTCTCTCATTTTTGTTTTTAAGACAAGGTTTCTTTATGTAGTCCTGGCTGTCTGGGAGCTCAGTATGTAGATCAGGCTAGCCTTGAATTCAGTAATCCTCCTGCCTCTGCCCCAAGTGCTGGGATTAAAGGTATGCCCCACTACTTCTGGCCCATACCTGGCTTTTTATGTGGGTTCTGGGGCTCTAAACTCAGGGCCTCATGCTTACAAAGCAGGGACTTCATACACTGAGTTGTCTCCCCAGCCTCTTTGTTTTTTGAACTCATCATGTGATCGTGATCTAGGCTGGCTGGCCTTCAGTTTAGGGCAATCCTCCAGTCTCAGCATTCTGAGTGCTGGGATTATATGCACGCTCCACTACAGTGCTCAGTGTTAACTCATGTCTACAAAGAGCTTCACAGTCCAAGAGGCGCCTTCTTGAAGTTACTGAGGAGAAACAGTTTCTAGACACAAACTATGGTGTTCATCATGCCCAAGGCTCTCAAGTGCTCTGCAGTCACACGGAGCTGAACAAAGACGTTCATTCTTTCATTTCCCCAGCTTCTGAGGACATAGATGCTGATCTCAGGCTCTTGAGTCCTCTCTTTCGACAGTGATGGGACAGATGATGGTGAGGACCTCAAGTCCTGTTTACTTGTGCCATGTCCACCCTAGTAACCCTGTAGCCATGTACGGCTCCTGGGATAAGGTTATGTGGCCAGGACACTTTCCTAACCTTCAGAGCAGATCAACGCCATCTAGCCTTCCGTCTCAAAGGCTCTCTCTTTCATGAGGTTCTTCCTCCAAAACCCACTTTTGTTTTTTGTTTTGTTTCTGCCTCAGGCACATTTTCTCTTTAATTTTTGGAACCCAAATATAAGGGAAATATCATTTTCTCCATTCTGACTCACTTACAATTAAATACACTTGTTCCCATCTGTGTCTGTATACATCTGCATACATTTAGCTATAGCATCGCCCTGAATTTTGGAAAATGATGTGGCTGGTGTTATATTTTTATTCCGACTACCAAACTGGCTGTGAAGACCAGTGGGTGTCTACCCACCCAGTGACGAGCCATTCCGGCCTGTCTCTTAGGGAGGTACTTTCCTCCACAGACAGGCCTACAAACCTTCAGGCAGTACTGCATTTGTGGCCACTGGTGTAGACTCTGAGTACCAGAGCTAGGTGTGCTTCTCTCCATCTTGGTGCCAGACTTCCGTGGTCATAGCAGCTCACTCTGACTCCTTATACTGCTTGGCATTAGCTGTTTTTCTGGATTTAGAGGTGGGAGTTTGCAGGTTCTCAAGGAGGGTGCCAGGGACAAAGCGATGTCAGGCACTGTGCCCCACTCCTGCCAGCCAGAAGAGCAGAGCAGACTTTACTGTTCAAAGGCATGTGGTAGTTAGTGTCTGCCTCGCCTCTGTACCTAAAAATACCACACTCTGGTTGTCTTAAAAAGTCAAACAACAGGTTACATTGTAAAGATCATGTAGTGAGACAGAGGTGACCTTCAGCATACTTAACCTTTTTATTATGATTTCACTGAATAATTTTATTTATATAAATATGCTAAAATAGAACTTGCCCAGTGAGAATTACAGGATTCAGGAAATAAAGTATCAACTGCTTCCACTAAAATATCAAACTAAAAAGAAGAGAGGGAAGAGGAGGCTCAGCTGTTAAAACCATTTGCTGCTCTTCCAGAGGACCCGAGTTCAATTCCCAGCTTTAGTATCTTCTGTACTCTAAAGGCACCTGCGCTTATCTTTATACACACACACACACACACACACACACACACACATGCACACACGCATGCATGCACGCACTCACGCACGCACACACATAAAAATTAAAAAAATAATTTTTTTTTTCAAAACAGGGCTTCTCTGTATAACAGTCCTGACTGTCCTCGAACTTGTAGAGATTCATCTGCCTCTGCTTTCCCGTGCTGGGATAAAAGTTAAGAGCCAACACTACCACCCAGCAAAAAATAAAACTTTTAATTAATTTTTTGTTTGTTTGTTCATTTTTTCCAGACAGAGTTTCTCTGTGTAACAGCCCTGGCTGTCCTGGAACTAGCTCTTGTAAACCAGGCTGTCCTCGAACTCACAGAGATCCACCTGCCTCTGCCTCCCAAGTGCTGGGATTAAAGGTGTGCACCACCACGCCTGGCTTAAAAATATTTTTCAAACAATTTCTTTTGATTATATTATTTCCCTTCCTCTAACTCCTCCCAGATTCTCCCCATCTCTTCCCCACACTTCATGTTCTTTCTTTCTCTCTTAAAAAGAAAAACAAAAACAAACAAAAATGAGAATCAAAACAAAAGATCAACTAGACAAAAATGAAAGAAAGAGTACATAAAAAATATGAAGTCCAATTTGCACTGGCCAATTACTTCTGGGCATGGGGTCTGCCCTGGACTGTGGTGGATATGCCTAATGACACTCCATTAGAGGAAACTGAATTTTCCTTCTCAGCAGGTATCAATTGCAAATAGCTTCTTGATTGGGAGGGGGAGTTTGTTTACTTCTTTCTACCTTTGGCATAGATCCCCAAGACTCAACAGGAGTAGTTTGGTAAAGCCATCCCTTTTAGTACTGACTGCTCTATTTTTTTTTTTTGTCCCCCCAAGACAGGGTTTCTCTGTAGCATTGGAGCCTGTCCTGGAACTCACTCTGTACCAGGCTGGCCTTGAACTCACAGAGCTCTGCCTGTCTCTGCCTCCTGAGTGCTGAAATTAAAGATGTGCACCACCACCAGCCCGGTAATACCGAGTGCTCTAAATTCTCCCACTCTTTGCCCATTGTCCAGTTGTAGGTCTCTGTTGGTTATCATCTCCTGCAAGAAAAAAGCTGTGATGAGGGCTGATCGATGCATTGATCCATGGGTACTGCAGTGTGTCATTAGGAATCATTTTGTTGTTACGTTCCTTTAGCAGAATAATAGTAGCAGGCTTTTTCTCTAGGTTTTTGGACTGTCTAGCAGTGTCTGGTATGGGTTCCATCTCATAGAGTGGGCCTTAATCTAACTTAAAAAGCAATTGCTTACTCCCAGGACACGTGTGTCACTATCGCACCACTTTAAAAAGAAAAAGTAAAAAGAATTTGAGGCCAGCCTGGTCTACAGAGCTAGTTCCAGGATAGAGAAACCCTGTCTTGAAAAAACAAAAAAAAAAGGAAGAAAAGAAAGTTGGGCCTCAGGTGGGTATAGCTCAGTGACAAATAAAACCCTGGGTTCAAACAAACAAACAAAGAGTATGAAAACAATATCTGAGGGCTAGAGAAATAGCTCAGTGGTTATAAATTTACAAAACTCACATGGTGGCTCACAACTGTCTACAACTCCATTCCCAGGAGACCAACACCCTCTTCTGACCTGCACAGACACCAGGCACACATGTGGTACACATACATACAAGCAGGCAAGATACACAAATAAAAAATTAATCTTAAGAAAACAGCATTTGAAGCAATGCTTACTTTTTGCTGTCCTATAATCTTTTCTTGGAAATTATGGAAAGGGGGGTTCTGCTGATAGGTAATCAAGACAACTAAGGGGAAAGGTGGGCTTCTGTATTTTTTTTTCTTGCATCACTTTTAAGGCCCATGGAGAAATATCTGCACCCCACTGAAGAGATAGCTTGGGATGACACCAGAATTTATTCAAGAGTCTTCCAGCTGCTCCAGGTTTCTTTAGGCTGAGAATCCATGAAAACAAAATACAGGCCATTTTACCAAGTGTCTGTCTTTTCTTTTCTTTTTTTTTTTTTTTTTTTTTTGAGATAGGGTTACTCTGTGTAACCTTGTGTGTCCTGGAACTCTCTCTGTAGACCAGGCTGGCCTTGAACTCAGGGATCCACCTGCCTCCATCTCCTGAGTGCTGCAATTAAAAGCATGTGCCACCACATCCACCTGTCTTCCTAAAGCTCTTGCCTTTGTAGTGTGAGACTCACTCGAGGCTCTCATGCATGGTAGGCAAGTGCATTACTGAGTTGCACCCCCAGCCCCAATGATCCCTTTGATACCTTGTTATTTTGTGACTACAGAGAGATTATTTCTTGGCCCATATTTCCAGTACAAAGTTATATAAAATTAACTTATCTCTTTTGGTAGGTGTATCAATCCCACCTGGCAAGAATAAGCCATCACCACATCTTAAACCAAATTTGAAGCAAGCTTTAATTAAATACTGGGTAGGCAGATGGTCTCCTACCATCTACCTAGGTCCATACCTGGGTTCCCAGAAAAATGGTCATGAGTTACACCTTGCAGAGGCTTAAAGAGGCAGCCACACAAGGCCACTGTATTTCCTATCAGGTTCAATCAGAGGCAAACACATATTCTGATGAATTTCCTGCCCATATACCTCTCATCCACATGTGATCAAGCACATCCGGTGCAGATGGGTCGAACAAACACAGGATGAACAGGAATTTATTCTTTTTTTTAAAATTTACTTAATTTTTTTATGTGCATTGGTGTCTCGCCTGCATATATGTCTGGATGAGGGTGTCAGATTCCCTGGAACTGGAGTTACAGACAATTGTGAGCTGATATGTGGTTGCTGGGAATTTAACCTGGGTCCTCTGGAAGAACAGTCAGTTCTCTTAACTGCTGAGCCATCTTTCCAGTCTCTTCCCCTCCCCCCGGAACTTATTCTTAACTTCAAACAGAACTCTTAACCTGTAAGGTATATTTTTCCTGTTTTGGTCTCACAAGTGACTATGTATTTACTTTCTACATTGACAGCCTTGTCCAAGAGGCCTTGAATGGGATTAATCTGAGAGGCTGCTATACAGCCCTTAATGTTTAGTGGTTATGGTCAGCCATCTGCTCTATAAGTACCAAATCTTTTTTTTTTTTTTTTTTTTTTTTTTTTTTTTTTTTGTAGGGTTGGTTTTCCTATTTTTATTTGGCGGCAACAGGGAAAGGGCCTCTTTCATCAACAGGAGTATTCACAGGTTCTTCAGCCATTCCAGGCTTGGGCCCTGAGGGTCCTGGGGGTGGCTGGACACATCGGGCATGTTTCCATTATCTCGTACAGGGACTGGGTAGTTGTAGCATGTTGCCTGGTTGATCATGGAAGCATACTTGGTGTAGGGGCTGATTATGGGCATAATTATAGCAAGGCCCCAGACTGAGAAGGACACCACCAGCACCGGCTCCTTCGCCCAGGCATTCTTGAGGAAAGTGGTGATTCTCGCGGCCATCTTGGTCTTGCAGTACCAAACCTTTTATACCCAGTTTTCCTAATTTCTTGTTGTGGGATATTTGTACACTGTGTGAAGATATATTGCTGGGATTGGTTTAATACAGAACTGAACAGCAATAGTTAGACAGAAGGTATAGAAGGGACCTCTGGGCAGAGAGAGGAGGTAGGAGAGGAATCTAGGCATGGAGGAGACACCAGCAGACACAGAGAGCAAACAGGAGGTGTAAGATGGAAGAGAGGTAAAGCCACATGGTAGAACACAGATTAATAAGAATATGGTTGATTTAAGTTATAAGAGCTAGTTAGGAATAAGCCTAAGGTATAGGCCAAGCTTTCATAATTAATAAGAAGTCTCTATGCCATTATTTGGGGACTGGCTGGCAGGACAGAAAAAGACTCTTTACAAGCTTTCTTGTCAGACTATCTTTGGATCGCTTAATGACCTGGAGACTTATTATTAATTATGAAAGCTTGGCCTTTAGCTTAGGTTTGTCTCAACTAGCTCTTATAACTTAAATTAACTCATATTTTTAAATTTATGTTCTTGATGTGGCATTACCACTCTTTCATCTTGCACCCCATCTCTTCTCTCTTATCTCCTGGCATCTCCCACATGCCTAGATTCTTCCTCCTCTTCCTTTCTCTTTACCTGAAGTCCTGCCTATCTCTCCTGCCTAGCTATTGGCTGTTCAGCTTTTGATTATACCAATCACAGGAACACATCTTCATAAAGTATATAAATATTTCACAACAGTTTCTGACTTGCTTATTTTTGTTCCTAACTTTGTATATATGTAATCAAATAACTCCTATGCCAAAACAGATTTAAAAACACTATACCACACATAATTATTATGGACTTTGTTTGGTTATGACAGACTCCCTTGTAGTCATGTATCCCAGGCTATCTTCCAATTCACTTCTGGTTCTCCTACCTCTGTCTCCTAAACACGGGGACTGTGGGTTTGCACCACACCGTAGTTTATGTTTCGTGAGATATGTCTCCTTACGTGGCCAAGGTAGACAGGAACTGGCAATCCTCCTGCATCTACCAGCCTCAGAGTACTGGGAATATCAGTGTGGTAGTGCATGTTCTGAATTCTAGGGCTGAGGAGGTTAAGTCAGGAGTTTGCCACTTTGAGACCAACATTGAGTACAGAGACCCTGTCTCAAAACCAGAACACCCCACCACAAAGTGGCTCTTGCGTTACTTTGAGAAATAAACAGCAAGAGATTAGGTAAGCAAGACACAGAATGGACAGCATCTGTGAAGCAGGAAGCGGGAGGCGCAGCAGGCAGGTGGTGAAGACTTTGATACAGGTTTCATCATCTGCAGAAGGAATGAGAGGAGCTTGCTAGGAGGATCTTCAGAGCAAAGTGGACCTTGTGTCTCAGCTGGGCTGAGACTGACAGTCAAGAAATAGACAAACAATCTAGGTGTGCTGCACACCTTTAATCCCAGTGCTAGGGAGGCAGCAGATTTCTCTGAATTTGAGGTCAGCCTGTTCTACAAAGTTAGTTCCAGGACAGCCAGGGCTACACAAAGAGACACTGTCCCCCCCCCCCCCCAAAAAGGAGAAAAAGATAAATGAAATGTGCTCTATAGACTATGGAACGCTACTCTGTCTTTATTTTTAACAGACATATCATTCTTGATTATGAATACGTGTGTGGGTCTGTGTGTAGGTATATTCACATGAGTGCAGGCGCCCACTGAGGCCAGAGGCATCTGATTATCCTGGAACTGAAGTTATGGGTGGTTGAGCAACTCTGTGTGTTGTAGGAGCCCGTTTGTTTGTTCCTAGCTGCCCAACTCGAAATAACCACACAGAAACTGTATTAATTAAATCACTGCTTGGCCTATTAGCTCTAGCTTCTTATTAGCTAGCTCTTACATCTTAATTTAACCCATTTCTATTAATCTGTGTATCGCCACATGGATGTAGCTTACTGGCAAGGCTCTATCTGGCGTCTGTCTCTGGTGGGGCTACATGGTTTCTCCCTGACTTTGCCTTCTTTCTCCCAGCATTCAGTTTAGTTTTCCCCCCGCTTACCTCTATTCTGATCTATGCAGGCCCAATACAGTTTCTTTATTAACCAATGGTATTCACAGTATACAGAGGGGAACCCCACATCTTATGTGGGTGCTGAGAATGGAACTCTGGTCCTTTGGAAGAGCAAGAATCCTTAAGATTCTTGCTAGGCCCCTAATATTTATTTTTTTAAAGAAAGAATTATTTATTTTGGCTTATGACTTCATAGGTTTCAGTCTATCTGCTAAAGAGGATGCAGCAACTAGGAAGCGGGGAAGAACGCTCAGGATGCTGGGACTTCATTCAGCCATTCAAAGACGTTTCTTATCTCTCTCTTCCTTTTATTTATTTATTTGGTTTATTTTATTAGTGCTGTGTGAGAGTGTCAGATCCCCTGGATCTGACAGTTGTGAGCTGCCATATGATTGCTGGGAACTGAATCCCAGTCCTCTGGAAGATCAGCCAGTAACAACTGAGCCATCTCTCCAGCTCCTCTCTTCCTCTTTTAAAGACATGACCTCACTGTGTAGCTCTGGCTGGCTTGTAACTTGCTACTCTCACCAGGCTGGTCTGAATTAGTGGTGATCCTCCTGTTGCTCAGCCTTTTGAGTTGCTGGGGTTACACACTGGCTCCTAATGAAGACAGTTCTGACACATGCTACAGTGTTAATAAATCTTGAAGGCACTAAGTGAGTCAATCACATAAAGGTGTTTACATTTTTAAAAAAAATGACATTTGGGCTGGAGAGACGGCTCAGCGCCTGAGAGCACTGGCCGCTCTTCCAGAGGTCCTGAGTTCAGTTCCCAGCACCCATACGGTGGCTCACAACCATCTGTAATGAGATTCTATGCTCTCTTCTGGTGAGCAGGCATACATGCAGGTAGAATACTCTATAATAAATAAATAAATATTTAAAAAATGATCTTTATATGTAGGGATGAGGGGTGGCACACACGTGCCATGGTGCACATGGGAAAGTCAGAAGATAACTTGTGAGAGTCAGTTCTCAGATTGGTAGGTTTGGTGGTAAGTGTTCTTATCCATTAAACAATCTTTTTTCCTCCAAGATAGGGTTTCTCTGTGTAAAAGCTTTGGATGTTTTAGAACTCGCTCTGTAGACCAGGCTGGCCTTGAACACGCACAAAGATTCACCTGCCTTTCCTGCCTCCTGAGTGCTGGGATTAAAGGCATGTGCCACCATTGTCAGACCCATTCCCCCTCTCTTGAGGATAAGAGTCTCATTCTAGAAGTGAGTGCCTGGAACTCATTATGTGGCTCAGGTTGGTCTCTAACTCATGGTGATCCTCCTGCCTCAGCCTGCTGAGTGTTATGTTTATACGTATAAGCAAACATGCCCAGTTTCCTTCTTTTTTTTTTCTTCTCTTTTCTTTTCATCTTCTTTTTTTTTTTGTTTCAAGACAGGGTTTCTCTATGAAGCCCTGGTTCTCCTGGAACTCACTCTGTAGACCTGGTTGTTCTCAACTCACAGGGATCCATCTGCCTCTGCCTCCTAAGTGCTGGGATTAAAGGCGTGTGCCACTACCACCTGGCTTCCTTGTGTTTCTTTACCTATAAAACCAGGGTGCCACACCATACCTGACTCACAAGCTAATCTATGTTGTTAGGCATGGTTAACTATCAAGTGTGCTGTCTGTTTAGTATCGTACAGCTAGACTAGCTCAGAAGAGTCTCCCTACGACCCTATCGTTCTACGCTTAGAGCTGGGAAAACTGAAAATTGGCAAGGTCCCACAGCCAGAGCTCTGTGGTCACAGGCAGCACGGAGGTGGTGTCTCTCATCAACTCTTTGTTAATGCACCGTAAGTTTTTTTTTAAAAAAAAAACTGGTCCTTAGTCTTTAGCAATAGCCTTTTCCTCTTCATCAAAACTCATCATCTTCAGCATCATAAGCATCTTCCAAAATGACTTTATTAAAAGCAACTAATTACCCATTCTGCTGTTCTATATTTTAGACAACAATAATTACAGAGACTTCTATAAGCTTAGCAACTAAGGCTTGGATGAACCAGTTAAGGGCTCGAAGGTAGCATATATTAAATGCATAGCTGTAGAGTGGTTGCTCATGTTGGTTGATGGACCAAGGCTTACTGAGAGGATGAAGCCCCATTTCCTACCCGATCACTGTGAGAGAAGAGTTGAGGATGGGCTTGGTGTAGTAAGAAACCCTAGCAGGCACTTTCTCTAGACCTCTGGTTGGTCCTGCAAATGTGGTAGTAGAACTAACCTGTACTCTAAAATATTTCATTTGAATTTAAAAAATAAAACTTGCCTGAAGATCAGAGAGTAAAACATCCCCACTGCTCAGCTCTACAGACCAGGCAGCAATGACACACACCTTTAAGCTCAGTAGCTACACTAGTTTGCCACAGAAACTGGGTGGTAGTTTTGCATGCCTTTAATCCCAGTCCTAGAGAGGAATATAAGACGAGAGGAGATGGCTCTCAGACACAGTCTCATTCTGAGATTCCTGGAGGCTGGATTGCCATTTCAGATTGAAACTGAGGTAAAAGCCAGTGGCTAGCTGCTTTCCTTTCCTGACCTTGGGGTTGAATCCCAGTATCCATCTCTGGGTTTTTATTAATAATGCTACAGTACTTCTCTTAATACCCTCTCACACTGGGAGGTGGTGGCACACACCTTAAATTCCAGCAATTGGAATGCAGAGGCAGGCAGATCTCTGTGAGTTCTAGGCCAGCCTGGCCAACAAAGCAAGTTCCAGGACAGCCAGGGCTGTTACACAGAGAAAAATTATCTCAGAAAAACAAAAATAAACTATAACAAAAACAAAACAAAACAAAAGCAAAAAACAAAACCCCTCTCCCACTCAGGAGTGTGGAGGTGGTGATCACATCACCTTTTCCTGAGTTATCAGAATTTAATCTGATGCTGGTTTTCTGGTGTGGACCATATAGGGAAGGGCTACTGCTCCACTGTGGTATTAGGTTTACCAACCCTTCCCCCCACTGCCATAAAGATGACCGCAGTTTCGTAATTTATTTCTCTAAACCACATCAATTGAGAAACAGTGAGGCAGCTGTTGTACGCTGGCTCCTGTGCTGCACTGGGGGTGGGTGCTTCTCTTTAGGAACTCAGACAAGTCCAATTGGTACACTCAACAGGACAGCGAGGGGAATCCTGACAGAGGTGTGTGCCAGAGCCGAGTACTTGGGAAACTTCAGA